TCGTTGTGTCCTTGGGCAAGACACTTCACCCGTTGCCTACTGGTGGTGGTCAGAGGGCCCGGTGGCGGCAGTGTCCCCTCTGTCAGGCCTCGCCTCTGTCAGTGCGCCCCAGGGTGGCTGTGGCTACACCAGTGTGTGAATGTGTGGGTGACTGGATGTGTAAAGAGTTTTGGGGTCCTTAGGGACTAGTAAAGCGCTATACAAATACAGGCCATTTACCATTTTTCAAACATCAACATAATTTTGTCCTTATATGTAAATAGCTCAAATTGTGTACAAGTTGTTGATCTAAATATATTTGAAGTACCTGAAATCGTGCCTATTATGTAGGATGGCACTTTCCAGAATTAGAAAGGTTGTGTCTGGCTCCTCTCTTATTTACACAAGGGGGCGCCACAGTAAATGGAACCACATATTTGACCTGATGCATCCCTCCCAGGTACTTGTGTCACAAGTCAGGGATCTTCGCTAGCCACACTCTTCCGAATCAGGGGTCTGTTCACATGTACACACCATCCATGTCCACTGTCCCCTCTCAGGTGGGTGGACTGCCTGTCATGTGCAGGTGGTGAGCTGAAGGTGGTTCTGCTGCTCCAGAATAACACAGTTGAGACCTACAGCCTGAAGACCTCACACAAGACCCCCGTAGCCGATAAAACGGCTCGCCTCACACTCGGGGGACACCGCACAGATGTGCGCACACTGGCCTTCAGCTCAGACAACCTGGCTGTCCTCTCCGCCTCCGGAGACACCGTCAAAGTTTGGAACAGGTAACACCAGTTTAGATGCAGCAGGTCCTGAAAGGGTCTTATAATTAGATTCATTTTGCTGCATTCAGTGAAAAAGCTCTTGCTTCATTGGTCATTGTCTTCTAACTGTCCTGCCCACTGTGACAGATCCACTCTGCAGGTGATTCGCACCATGGCCTGCGAATACGCCCTCTGCTCCCTCTTTGTGCCTGGAGACCGACAGATAATCCTGGGAACGAAGGTATGTGGACACACACTGAGTCATTCAGACACTCTGTCCAAGGCTTACAGTCAGTTTCAACCTCTGTTCTCTATAAGTTATTGATGTCATCGGTGAGTTAGTGGATTTGAGCGTATAGAGTGTATTTCTTTCTGAATCCTGTAATCTAATGGCAACCATCTGGAAGAGAGAATATCGCTCCTTACAAAGTTGTAGACTTTCTTGTAGTCAAGTGTGTTTTGTCCTTATTAGAGTGGGAAGCTGCAGATCTTTGAGCTGGGTTCAGGAAG